AAAGTGTGTTCAAAGCACAGAGGCAGCAATTGTTTCATTGTGCGATACTTTCCCGCAAGAAGCAGGATTTCCAGCCATAGCCAATAGCCTGGTGGGCGACAAGTCAGAGAGAGCACCTGGGGAGGCCACCAGCCGGAGGTGTGATTCCAAGAGCCCTCGGCATCGCACTGTCTCTGCTGGAGAAGCAGCCTGGCCAGCAGGTTTCAGCACAGCCCCCAGAGAAGCCAGGTGGCCTGACACTGGCCACCACAGTGGGGAAGACACGGGGGCTCTGAGGAGCCTTTGTGAAAGCATGCTTCCTCCTCCCCAGCTGCTTGTTTGGTGGAGACCACCCAGTGTTCCTTTGTCCCTGACTCTCAGCTTTCCTGACTAACAGGGAGAAATCCTAAACCCTTTTCCAGCTTCTGGGAATGCTATCTGGGACTTCTAAAAACGTGGTAGTCGGGCATATCTTGATCTTTGATTCCTGAGACCAGCTCCCCCTGCTGGTCAGCGATGGTATCGTCACCTCACTCCCCTGACATCCCCGGGCCTCAGATTCGCTGTTCCAGGTCCTTGCAAAACAAGGTTGAAAACAGGCACTTTTGTTCTTCCTTAGGGTGAGTTTTTCTCAGCCTTCAAGCAGGCCTCCCGGAGAGAAGATGACATTGCCAAGGTGACCACAGGCATGAGAGTCCTATTCAAGCCAGGAACCACAGAGGTAAAGGAGCTGGCCCTTTGCTATGGCGGAATGGCCGACAGAACCATCTCAGCCCTCAAGACCACTCAGAAGCAGCTGGCCAAGTAAGAGTTGACGGCGAGGTGAAGCTGCTGCTGCCACTGTCATTGCTACTGCCACTATGACTGTGCACGAGCAGTGTGACTGTTGCCACGACTACTATTTCACCTCTACTACCGCGGCTGCTTCTACCACTGCAGCCACCACAGCTACTCATGACTCCTGCTACTGTTACTTACGCGACTGCTTTATTAACACGAGTGGTGCTACTGCTGCTGTACCACCATTACCATAGCGACTGCAGCGGCTGTTATTAGTGCCACTACCACTATTACTGCAGCCACAACTAATATTACTATCACTCTTTCAGCTACTGCAGCTGCTTCTGCTACTCCAGTTACTACAGCTACTCATTCCTGCTACTGCTGTCACTACAGTTGCTACGTCTATTACTGTGGCTACTGTCATTGCTGCTATTCCTACTGCTGTCACTACTGTGACAGGTATTACTGCTGTGACTATCACTACTGTTACCATTGCAACTAATGCTGCTGCCTCTTCTATTAATTCTATTACTCCTGCTACAATTACCGCTGCTACGACTAGTGCTTCTACTGATAGCATGACTGCTGCTGCTGCTGTTACTGCTGCTGCTGTTACTACTGCTACTGCTGCTGTTACTACTGCTACCGCTATTCCTATTGCCACTAGTGCTGCCGCTGCCACTGTTACTACTGGTAGTGCTATCGCTGCTGCTTCTGCTGCTGCTGCTACTGCTGCCACTTTTGCTGCTCTCTAGTACTGCTGCTGTTACCACTACGNCTCAGCCCTCAAGACCACTCAGAAGCAGCTGGCCAAGTAAGAGTTGACGGCGAGGTGAAGCTGCTGCTGCCACTGTCATTGCTACTGCCACAATGACTGTGCACGAGCAGTGTGACTGTTGCCACGACTACTATTTCACCTCTACTACCGCGGCTGCTTCTACCACTGCAGCCACCACAGCTACTCATGACTCCTGCTACTGTTACTTACGCGACTGCTTTATTAACACGAGTGGTGCTACTGCTGCTGTACCACCATTACCATAGCGACTGCAGCGGCTGTTATTAGTGCCACTACCACTATTACTGCAGCCACAACTAATATTACTATCACTCTTTCAGCTACTACAGCTGCTTCTGCTACTCCAGTTACTACAGCTACTCATTCCTGCTACTGCTGTCACTACAGTTGCTACGTCTATTACTGTGGCTACTGTCATTGCTGCTATTCCTACTGCTGTCACTACTGTGACAGGTATTACTGCTGTGACTATCACTACTGTTACCATTGCAACTAATGCTGCTGCCTCTTCTATTAATTCTATTACTCCTGCTACAATTACCGCTGCTACGACTAGTGCTTCTACTGATAGCATGACTGCTGCTGCTGCTGTTACTGCTGCTGCTGTTACTACTGCTACTGCTGCTGTACCACCATTACCATAGCGACTGCAGCGGCTGTTATTAGTGCCACTACCACTATTACTGCAGCCACAACTAATATTACTATCACTCTTTCAGCTACTGCAGCTGCTTCTGCTACTCCAGTTACTACAGCTACTCATTCCTGCTACTGCTGTCACTACAGTTGCTACGTCTATTACTGTGGCTACTGTCATTGCTGCTATTCCTACTGCTGTCACTACTGTGACAGGTATTACTGCTGTGACTATCACTACTGTTACCATTGCAACTAATGCTGCTGCCTCTTCTATTAATTCTATTACTCCTGCTACAATTACCGCTGCTACGACTAGTGCTTCTACTGATAGCATGACTGCTGCTGCTGCTGTTACTGCTGCTGCTGTTACTACTGCTACCGCTATTCCTATTGCCACTAGTGCTGCCGCTGCCACTGTCACTCCTGGTAGTGCTATCGCTGCTGCTTCCGCTGCTGCTGCTACTGCTGCCACTTTTGCTGCTCTCTAGTACTGCTGCTGTTACCACTACGATTGCCCCTGTCACTGCCGCTGCTGTTACTACTATTACTACTAGTATTGCTGCTGCTGCTGCTGCTACTTCTACTACTAGTATTACTGGTGAGGTTGCGGCATTACGCTACTTCTTATTCTACGACGATTGCTACTACTTCTACTACTACTTTTACTATTGTTACCACTACTATTACTGCTGCTGCCATTGCTAGTATTATAACTAGTAGTATTGCTGCTGCTGCTACAACAACTGCTGTTATTAATACTGCAATTACTAGTATTGATGCTACTGCTATTACTATGGCTACTATATGGCAGCAATTATACCAAGGACTTCCTTAGCCTCATCCTGTACAATCCTTACAATAATCACATAGGATCAATAAAGCTTGGCTTGGGGTTTGACTCCGTGGTTCCAATTTCTGGCTCTGACACTTACAAGATGGGTAATGAAAGTCAAGTTATTTAATCTCCTCATGCCTCAGTTTTCTCATTGGTAAATGGGTATAAGAATTTTCCCTACTACGTTATTTAATTTAAATTAGAAGTGACAATTCTTATAAAGCACTTAAGGACATCGCCTAGTGTATTGTATGGACTCGATAAATTTATTATTATTTTTATGGTCTTTTACAAACTGTATCCACTTTTAAAGAAGGGGAAACCTGAGACTCCAGGATGTTAAGTAACTTGCCTAAAGTTTGTAACTCTAAGTATCTGAGCCCAATTTTGAACCAAGGTCCATATGACTCCAAGGCCCTGCTGCTCTCTGCTCTACACAAAATGATTGGGAGGGCCAGATGTGAGCCCTGTCCCACATCCTGTACCCTGGCAGGTTCTGGAAGGAGGAGCTGCTGCAGGACGTGTGTGCGGGGCTGGCGGAGGAGCTGCACCTGTCCCCCGATGCCCCCGGCGGCATGGTGGACTTCCGGCGCACCCTCGCCCTCAGCTTCTTCTTCAAGTTCTACCTGACAGTGCTCCAGAAGCTGGGCAAAGACAACCCAGAGGATGTGAGTGCGGGGCCGGGCGAGGCACAGGTTCTCTGCAGCATGGTTGTCTGGGAAATTGGGAAGCTCGTCTAGGTGGTAAATTTGTTCCTCTCTTCTGCATGTCTGGGGACAGAAGAGCAGGTAGCAGGGACACGGTTCAGGAGCCAGAGAGATGGGAGCTACTGGCCAAATGAGAGGCTGAGCACTGGGCTGGGAGTCAGGGATGCGGGTTCTTGCACTGCCTGTGTTGTTACTTCACGGCGAGGACTTGAAGAGTCACAACTCTCTCCACGTCTCCGCTGTGACATCTGCACAAAGGGGCAGGCGGACCACATGATCCTTCTACAGTAGCAGCAGAGCTGATACAACTGTGGCTTTGAAGCTTGTAAAGGGAACACAGAGTGTGATGAGAAGGTAGAGGGGACTGAGAATGTCAGATGGGGCTGCCACGAGGAGGCATGGAGTGCACACGGTGTGCGTTCAGAAGAGGGTGCTGGCTGAGGGGCCCGGCTCCTGAGCTGTGCTCACCAACACCCACTCCTGTGCATGTACTATAAGCCAAGTTGCGCTAGGCACTGGGGCGGCCGAGTGTGGGGAGAACATGCCAGCCATGGCCGCCCTAGAGTGCCAGCTGAGGAAATGGAGTGTGGAGGGAGACAGGAGAGGGCTTCACAGATGTGGGATGGCAGAGCCAGATCCCTCCTTTAAAAACACCGATAATACTTCTTTTTTCTGATCATAAAAGTAATTAGGACTTATTGTGGGAAACTTAAAAAGTACATGACTGTATAGAGAAAAACTAAAATTATTCCTACTCTCAGATCCCAGAGAAAACCAATGCTAATATTTTGGTTTATTCCTTTAATCTTCCTCCCACATTTATCTGTCCATCTGTCTGTCATACCGTTTGTCTGCCCCATTTCTCTCTCTCTCTCTCTCTGTCTCTGTCCTTCCATCTATCAATATATCCATCATCATCTTATCTTTTGATCTGGATATATTATTTTCTAAACAGATTTGGGATCAGGCTGCCTACAGAGTTTTATATCTCCCCTGCTTCCACTGAGATTATATTGTGAACGTTTTTCATATCATTAAATACTTCCCATGGAATTGAGGAGGGTGAGGAAGACTTTTCCAGGAAGGCTGGGAGAGAGAGATATTCCCAACAGAGAGAGCAGCATGCATACATGCAGGAAGGAAGGAAGCAGCTTGGCGTGCTGGAGAAAGTACAAACCATTCACTCTGCGGTGTGCAGGGGTGGCTGGAGATGAAGCTGAGGCTGTTACAAAACACTGAGCTCCAAACCCACCTCTGGATGTTGAGTTAGACCCAGCTAGTATTCAAAGGGGTATGAAATGAGGGGATGAGGGGAACAGTTGTCACTTTTATCACTTGGGGACAACCAAGGAAGGGATCAATGATCAAAATATAGTTCTGATCACCTCTGTTATCTTACCTCCACAGAAGTGCGGAAAACTGGACCCTACCTTTGCCAGTGCCACTTTACTCTTTCAGAAAGACCCTCCGGCCAACGTCCAGCTCTTCCAAGTGAGTACAGATGGTGTGCAGCTAGCATCAGGGGCCTTTGCAGGCCACATCATATGATCAGTGTTCGATCACTGGTGAATGACCAACTTGAATTGTATGCAGGTGCATAAAGATCTAGTGAAGAAAATGGAATCATATTGACGTCAGTGTAGCTATGTCCCCTCTTTCCTAAATTTTTCTCTTGAAATTAGACTCTCATCTGCACCTGTTCCTTAAAGAAAAAGTGTTCTTTTTTTTTTTTTCCATTTTGTCTTTTCTGGCTCCTCAGTGGGGCTAATGTGCAAAGCCAGGAGTCGTTTTAGCATGCAAAAACAAACAAACAAACAACCCCCCCCCCAAAAAAAAACCCTTTCTATCAACTGCAACTTTTTGAGAGGTGCTAAGTAAAGGATCAGCAAACTTTTCCCGGAAACACTGTAATTTTGTGGGCCATATAGTCTCTATGGCAACTTCTCAACTCTGTCATTGTAGCACAAAAACAGACATGGGCAATACAAGGGTACTTCAAAAAGTTCGTGGAAAACTGGAATTAAGAGATAATATGAATCTTTCCATGAGCTTTTGAAGACACCTCATATGAAATGAATGAGTGTGCTGTGTTCCAGTAAAACTTTATTTACAAAAACAGGTAGTGGGCCAGATCCGGCCTGCAGGCCACAATTTGGTAATACCTGCACTCGTGTGTAGTGGTCCAGCGCATGATCTTTGGGACCCAACTGCCTGTATTTGAATCCACGCTCTGCCATTTTGTAACTGTAATCTTGAGCAAATAACTTACCCTCTCTGTGCCTCTTGGGCAAATTAACTGCGCATAATGATGCAAACATGGATAACGATGATACCTGTTTGATAGGATTGTTCTGAGGATTAAATGTGTTAATAAAACACATTTTAAATAGTTCCTGGCGTATAGTAAAAGCTCGATAAATATTAGACATTAGTATTATTAATTTGAAAAACAAATAAAAACAGAACTTTATTATAAAATTAATTAATTTTAAAACACTTTGGAAAATACAGAAACATATATAGAAGAAAATAAAAATCACCCAAAATTCCACCTTCAAGAGAAAATCATTATTATACTTTTGTTTACTTATTTCCATTTTTCCTATGCATATATGAACATGCATATATTATATTTACAGCATGTATTCTTTTTTCCTACAGAATTCGAATCATTATATACACACACACACACATTTTGTGTCTTGTTTTTAACTTAACATGAGCATTCCTTCCTTCTAATTAAAATTCCTCAGAAGCATGTTTTGATGGTTGCATGCTACTCCATTGCATGAGTGTAGCACAACCCAGTCCCCAATTAATTGACATTTAGGCTCACCTTTTTTTATTGTTGTTCCTGTATATAATAACACCACAACCATTCTTATCAATTACTTCTCATGTGCCTTTCTATTTCCTTCACCCCGTGCCCCTCTGCCTCCTCCCTTCTTACCCTTCCCCAGTGTCCCTTGGTCCTGTAGAAGAACAGTGTCCTCAGCAGCTCAGGCTGACTGGTGACTGTGTTGTTCCAGGAGGTGCCCAAGGGTCAGTCCGAGGAGGACATGGTGGGTCGGCCCCTGCCCCACCTGGCCGCGGACCTGCAGGCCTGCGGGGAGGCCGTGTACTGTGACGACATCCCTCGCTACCAGAATGAGCTGTCTCTCCGGCTGGTCACCAGCACCCGGGCCCACGCCATGATCAAGTGAGTGCAGTTGCGGTGGACGAGCTGGTGGTGCTCCGAGAGGAGGGCGCTGGGAGCACCCACCAGACTTCTTGCACCCTGCCAGGCACTGAAGTACAAAGATCATGAGGTTCCTCCGGGACTCCCCAGTCTAGAGAGGAAGGCGGGAAGTCATCGCGAAACCACAGTCTGGAGAGGAGCAGGAGGATTAGGGGCTCCCTGGTGCCTGGAGAAGGTCTGCCCCCGGGAGGGTGAGGGGGCTGGCATTAAAGAGGCAGACAGAGGCTGGATTAGGAAAGCCTGGGTACCCTGAACAGAGAGATCGCACCTGGTCCAGAAAGCAACAAGGAGCTGCTGAAAGGCTCTTAACAGGACCAGGTTAGATTTGCATTTTGGATATTGGGCTAAATTTAAATGCAAATTTTCAGGAGAACTTGACTTAACACTAAAGGGAAGAACATGGCTTGGTGTCTGACAGACCTAGGACCGAATGTCTGCTCCAGTGCTTAGCAGTGAAGACCTGAGCCTGTGTCCTTAAGTTCTCAGTTTCCCCCTCTGCAATATGGTGTTTGTGTGAGGATTAGCTATAGAGGCTACAAAGCACCTATTAGAGAATAGTCACTTATATGTGTTTATGGAACTTGGAGAGCCTGAACAGCAAGAATTGCCACCTCTATCATCATCATCATCATCATCATCATCTAACACTCCTTGGAGAGCCTGAACAGCAAGAATTGCCACCTCTATCATCATCATCATCATCATCATCATCATCATCATCTAACACTCATATGACACTTAATATTTGTCACAACCTGGTTTAAAACTTTTTACCTATATTGGTTCATTTGTTCCTCACAACAACCCTATAGGCAGGTCCTATTATTATCTACCTGTTCCAGATGAGGAAACTGAGACACAAACAGGGTAGTTAGCCACCCCAGGCCACACAGTAGGTAAGGGGCAGAGTTGAAGTTTGAAGCTGAGCAGCATTAACAGCTGGGCTGTGCTGCCTCTAGATGTTCAAGCCAGAGACTGTGAACTTCATCACTGGGTGGGCATTAGACACACGGCCTGCTGAGTAGACAGCTAAGGAAAAGCCCTCCCTCAGGCCCTGCCACTGTGTGGATTAGGGATCTGGTCTCCTGGTCACTCATTCGTCTTTTCTGTTGCTGCTCCTAGCCTGGAAACAGCTTCCAGGAATGGTGAGCCAGACACAGACAAAATCTAAGATAAATAAACTTTTCCAGGTCCCTGAAAAAAAAATGTTTAAGTTCATAAGGGTATCAGCTATGGGGTACATTCTTTCGCCTTTGTCTTGAGCCCATGTTGACAGTACCACGACCCACACTGTCTACACTCAGCCTCCACCTAAGTAGGACAGGGATGGACACTGTAGTGCCTGCAGCACGCAGGGCGTCCACGGGCTTCACGCACTGGGAAGGGAGCGTGGAAGGGCAGAAGCTGCGCTGACGTTGGAACCTGCAAAACTTAACTTCAGTTCTAATCCCTGTTACGCTGCTTTCTGGCTGAGTGACTTTGGACCAGCTCCCTAACTTCCCTGAACTTGAGTTTCCCCAAATGTAAAATGGGGTTCGTGATCATTACCTTCAGGGTTTCTTGTGAGGATTAACTGTTCGGAAGGTGGCTGCTATGTCAGGGCAGTTGTCCCTACCTTTCTCGGAGGTGCCTCTACCCTGGTTCCTCATACGGGCATGGGCTGGAGTGATCAGTGAACAGTTTAGACTGTTATAACTGATAAGCTCTCCAGGCATTCTCCCTTTGAGGTCTGTACTGCCTACTTATGCCTGGGAGAGCACCGTTAGTGTGGGGAGAGAAATTGGTTGTGTGAAGATGTTCAGGGGCACTGGATCAGTGGCACAGCAAGGGCCCAATGTGCTGATTCTGGATAGTGTTAGCTGGTGGTGTGGGCTTATGCCAGAGCTCTCCAGAGTAAATGCTGCTCACTATGAGTGAACGTGGAGACCAGACAGGGCATAGCATAAGATCCTACTCTCTTACATCCCCAGCAGCACAGTGGTCTGCATGTTGTAAGCATTTAATCATCACCTTCAGAATAAAATAGAACTGAATTAGAATCTGATAGAAAAGAAGGCAGAGAAGAGAGGAAATAGGGTGGAGGAAAACCCATTAAAATGAGGACAGGTTATCCCACCAGGTGACAGGTCTCCTGCTTCAGTGTGCCCACTTGGCCTCTCACATTGCTCATTCCTGCAGGTCCATAGATACTTCAAAAGCAAAGGAGGTACCAGGGTTTGTTTGCTTCCTCTCAGCTGGTGATATTCCTGGGAGTAACATAACTGGCATTTGTGACGATGAAACAATCTTTGCAAAGGATGAGGTATGTCTTGTATTTTTTTACATGAAGTAAATGGAATAAGCATTAAAGTTTCAGTTTGTGCTCATTGCTCCAAATCCCTAATCCTGAAAGATTATACATTTGCATAGATCATGGTCATCATCCGATTGGCCAGTATTCAAGACAACCTGTAAAGGGATAAAACATGTTACTTGTTTATTTAACGCATGGCTGCTGTTTGTACATAGTAGGATGACTCCAAAGCAGCAATAAAACGAGGCTGGTGAATGTAATTTAATTAACAATATTGTTCTTAAGATACAACATTAAGTTCCTTTATTAAAAGAAAATAGAATACATTAAACAGTGGTAGTATTGCATAGTGTTCTAAGAATACATTAAACAAACTAACCAGAAAACACCACTATCTGTACTGATAATTTACTTATATCAAAGTTCATCTATTTATTTTAATTATATGGAATTATGCAACAACAACAACAAATTTCCAAATATATAAGACAGCTACTGCAAAAATCCTTATACTTTACTCATAGGATAATTCTCAGATGGTCATTTTATAATTCCAGTACAGATCAAACGTTGAAAATTAGATGTGAGTAGGTGTTGCTGAAGGGTAAATTCACCTTATTGATGTAAAAGTGAAGGAGAGAACAAAAAACCACAAATATGAGACACAAGGGCTCCTCAAGGAGAGCATTTGGTAGAAGAACAAATTGCTTTACAAACTTTAAGAGCCCCCAAGAGCATTACTGGCATTATGGCTGGTGAGAGCAGCCAGGTTTACCACCACTGCACTAACCAACTAAGTCAGCAACTTGACTGGACCCTCCAGAGATAAATTCAGAGACTTGCATCGGTTCCCATGTCAGAAACCTCGTATTCTAAAGTGATGAGTTGGACAATGATTTTTTTGTTGCTTATTTTTTTGGGGGATGTTAAATAAAAATTAATTCTTTTTTTTTTTTTTTTTTTTTTTTTTTTTTTTTTTTT